ACCTGAGGAGTGATACAGAAGCAGCAACAGAACCAAGAGCCAGAGCATGAGACTCAGCAGTGGGCTTCACAAGTCACTGAACAAGTAAAGCTGAGTGACTTTGGGCTGGAGGCTTGCTTGTAGAGTGGGGTGCCTCTAGGCACTTAATTGGAGGAGCTAGGTTTGCTGACCCTGAATTTATCTCCTGGCACATGCCCAAAGTGCAGGAAACAAAGTCTAGCCATCCTTTCTTCTAAGGAACATTCCGGCGGCATTTCTTCCAAGACAGATTTGTTTGTTTCTCTGATGGTCCATGTACCTTCAATATTCTTTTCCAGCACAACAATTCAAATGCATCAAGCTTTCACAGGCATACGAAGCAGCTGAAAATACCATGCACCTTAGTCCTCAAAGTGACATATTTGCTCTTTTACATTTTGTTGTTGTTGTTAAGTGCCATCAAGTCGGTTTAGGGTCATAGCGGTTCCAGGGACCAGCTGGTGGATTTGAACCATCAACATTTCAGTTAGCAGTCCAGTGCTTATCCTACAGTGCCACACCAGGACTCCTGTTACACTTTAAAGAGGTCTTCTGCAGCAGATTTGTCATGTTGATGTGAACAAATACGGGCAATTTGTAACTTTTAAACCAAAATTCTATCTCAATACTTAATTTTCTAACATTTTTAAATAATATCTACAGATTCATGGGGAATATGTGGTTGTGTGTATTAAGGCAAAAACAAACAATTCCTTAAAATATGGTTTTGTAAAGCACAGGGCCTTGGAATGGCTTTGTAAAATTTTCTTTATTGATTGGGGCAACTCTGTATGCATAGATGAGCCTGATACTGTGCTCTTTGCAGGAATCCAAGAGGGATGGATAAAGTTTGCTACTTCTCACTCCATCTCCAAGTAGAATTCCAGGCAGAAGACAAGGTTTCAAATTCCAGTTATCTTTTCGTTTATTCAGCGAACATTTAGCAGAGTGCTTAATACGCATATGTACGCATATGTACGCAGCACAGCACTAGATGCTGAGTACCAGCAAAAAGAGGAAGGGGAATGTACGTGTGTTACTTACCAATAGGATAACAGTATCTGTGGCGCCGTAAGCCGAGTCCCGGGCCTCAGTTTCCCCATTAGGGGAGTGCTCACACGGCCCTACCTAAGAGCGGGCTCGCTCTGGCCCTGCCTTCCTTCGTTTCCGCTGGCAGGCCAAGTCCTCCAGCCCCACCGGAAACGTCCTCCAGACCGGCCGCTGGGAGGCGCGGCGGCGGCGACAAGAGGTTGGTTGCACTGCACACCCCCACTCCACCCGCACCACGCCCTACCGCACCCGTGGGCCGCCGGGAGACTCCTAGCACTCTGTACCTCCAGCCCTGTCCGAACGGGGGGGGGACCCCCCAGCTTCCCTTGATCGGGAAGCTCCCCAAACCTAGGCCTCATCCCGGCCCAGGAACCCGCCGCTGCAGAGCCTTCCCCCACCCCCACCCGCCCCAGGGCCTCGCTGCCCCTTGCCCGTCTTGCGGGCGCCCAGTGCACCCCTGGGCTGAGTCCCCCTTTGGAATAGTCTTGGCGCTGCTCTGGGCCTGGAACTGTGCTCCCATGTGGTGATGTGAGGTGGCGAAATGACAGGGGCCTTGTCCTAGGGGGCGCCCGTAAAGGGCTACCGGAAAGCACAGAACTGGGTGGCAGGGGCTGTACTTGACTGGCAGGATGGGATGGGATGGCAAATTCCTGCAATCAGCACTATTATGAGGGTGACCCTCCCAGATGAGGTCTAGTTCAGGTGGCCCCAAAGTATGAGCACAGCAAGCGGAAGGCTGAGGGAGATGGGGGGAGCTGAGCGCAGGGAAATTTATGTGATGACCAGCCAGAGAAGTAGGAAAGAACCCTGAGGAGGTGTGGGGAAACTGGGGATAGGGGGGCTAAAAGCCCCGTCAGATGCTGGCCAGAGATTAGAAGCTGGTTGTTTGGCAACCACATGATAACTTTGACGCAATGGTTCTGTAGAAATTGGAGTGAGAGAGTGGAGATTCCTGTGCAGCCCATGTTTTTTAGAAGTTCTGCTCTGGCGCTGTAGAATGAGCACTGGAGCGCAGCGTCGGTTTGAACTGTCAGAAGGGCCATTCAAATCCACCAGCCACTCCTTGGAAACCCTATACAGGGTCACTATGCGTTGGAACCAAGTCAGTCGTTGGCACACAACCATCACAACAATGCTTAAAGTGAGGAAAGAGAGTAGAAGCAGGAGAGAATTTGGGATAGGGTAAAAAGCGTAGGCCCTGGCCAGAGTTCCCACTCTAGCTGTGAGACTTGGGGCAATCACTTCTCCATGGCTCAGTTCCTTCATCTGTAAAGTGAGGATGCCATAAGTATACCTGCTTTTTATGGGGGTTCATGTGAGGATTCGATGAGATGGTGCCTATAAGTACTTAATACAGCACTCAGACAAGAACTGAAAACGTAGTGGTGGTTCTTTTTCATTTTCATTGTTACAGCAGCTTGCGCATATTTTGAGGTAGTTAGAAAGGAACTGGTAGACAGTGGAGCAGAGGGGAGAGAAAGGGGCTCAGACAATTAAAGAAATGTCTTTCAGATCTTTTTTTTTCTTCTTTTCTCTGAAGTAGGTGTAAGAGCCCTGCTGGCACGGAGGGTAAAGCTGCTAACTGGAAGGTCATAGATTCAAACCCAGCAGCTGTTCCTTGGCCCCTATGGAGAAGTTCTACTTTGTCCTATAGAGTTGCTATGAGTCCAAATCAATGATACAACCACAGTAGTGGTGGCTGTGTGCCGTGGAGTCGGTTCCAACTCATAGTGACCCTGTACAGGGTTTCCGAGGCTGTAAATCTTCACGGGAACAGAAAGCCTCATCTTTCTCCTGCGGAACAGCTGATAGTTTTGAACTGCTGACCTTGAGGTTCACAGCCCGAATCGTAACCACTACGCTGCAATCACAGTAGGGGTTTGATTTTCTGGCTGATCAAGATGAGAGTGGAAATCCTGACTGGCACAGCAGCCATAGGGCACCCTGCCCTTTTTGCCAGCGGCGTCTGGCAGCCCAGGTGTTGTCCAGGGAATGTGAGCAGTTGAGTTTGTCCAGGGTATGTAATTGGCCTTCTCTGTGTATCTGTGAAGCTCAAGTAAAGTTGATGGATTTGAAAACACTATATAAATATATTGTTGTTATTGTTAATTGCTGTTGTGTTGGTTCCTACTCATAACCACCCTGTATAGGGTTTCTGAGGAGTGACTGGTGGGTTTGAACCACCAACCTTGTGATTAGAAGTCCAGTGCTTATCCTACAGCCCCACACCAGGAAATATATATATATAGAGAGAGAGAGAGCGAGTAACAGAGTCTTGGTGTGGTACTGTGAATTAATGTGTTGGACTGCAAGGTCGCTTTGAACTGCAAGGTCGGCAGTTCAAGCTCACCAGTCACTCCTCAGAAACCATGTACAGGGTCACTCTGAGTTAGACCCAACTTGACAGCACTTAACAACAACAACATATAGTAACAATTTAAGCCTCTCTATGGTTTTGTAGAGCTAGAAGGGGAGTAGCCATCATCTAAGGACAAAGTCAGACCCTTTGGAGCACTTTATTTAGGCATGTACTATGCTAAACTTTCACCTAAGATCTCATTTAGTCATTTAGGTAACATGTGGTGCTGTGAGTTAATGTGGTGCTGGACTGCAAGGTTGGTTTAAACCGCAATGTCGGCAATTCAGTCTAAGTAGGTGCTCTTCGGAAACACTATACAGAGTCGCTATGAGTCGGAACCAACTCAATGGCACCTAACAACAACATCCCCAGTTTAGGACTTTTGGTGTGACACAGAGCAGGGAGATATATTGGGGACCATCTTCATTTGGCAGGTGAGAAATCAGAGGCTAAGATGCTAGATCCTGCTCTGTAGGTTCCACCAAGAACTTTGCTTTTGTCTGTCTCTCTTTCATGGAAGCAACAGCAAAAATTTGGAGTCCAACTGACTTGCCAGCCCTTGCTTTTCTGAGCCTAGTTCATATCTCCAGAAGATGGTCCCCAATGGGTTGTTCTGAGAATTAGGAGGGAAAACATTGCCCACAGCACACAGTAGACATGCCGGGAGTTGTCATCTCTGGGTTCACTTTACCACATGGCCACTCCGTTTAGAACTGAGACTGACTCCCTGTAACCTTAAACTTGTTTAGTGCTTTGTTCTTCTAGAACAAAGAAGTGGTGGTGCCTGACCTCCAGTAGGTGACCACTATGACTTCCTGAGTGGGAATGTGGGGAGAGGGCCCTGAGGAGTCTGTGGTCCTGAAGACTTGGGGCAAGAAAGCCAGCTTGGACTTCAAAAGAGAGAAATGTCCTGTATGGTCCCCAGGCTCATGGAGGAAGGCCCCACTGGGGTCAGATCAGCAGAAGCCTTCCTACTGCCTTATGGACCACCTGTTGAAACTCTTTTTTTTTCCAGGTGATGTATCTGAGACCCACTATGAGGAAATAACTTTTACGTAAGATTGTCCAGCCCATCTGGACCATGCAGAACTAAAGTCCCTAGGACATTAATCTTTGGACCTGCTTCCAGAACCTCAGAGACTTCCACCAGGGAGATGAGCCCCCATCAAGCAATTCTAGCCTGCCAGTGGCCAGCACGGCATGATGCTCTTTGCTGAGATGCCACAGGGATCCTTGGTGAGGAAGCCAGTAGCTAGCAGCCTGCGGTTCTCAGACAGGGGAACTCTAATTGTGGTTCCTGAAAGTCTGTGACATAGTTCTTTTTTTCTCTCTGACTCGCTCTCTTGCTCTCTCTCACACTAAAGAATAGCTGGACACTCCTGAAGATTCTAGTCACCATTCAGGGGATTTTTTTCAGCCTGATGGGTAATTCCTGCCCCATCCCTGCTATGACTCAGCTGTGACGTTGAACCACACAAGCCAGAGAGAACAAGATAAAGTCTTCAGAGACTCCCTGCTCACCAGAGAGGGTGGCCCAGGCCTGAAACCACCTCTTCTGTCATCTAATCTCCACTGGACTGGGCCCTGATCTGGAGGAGTTTACACAAGTCCTCTGGCCAGCCTGGGGCCCTAAGATGACTTCAGACGTAGCCAGCAGCCCCCGTCCGGCCCCTGATGAGAATGAGTACCCCTTTGGGTGCCCTCCCACCGTCTATCAGGACCCATCAGAGCCCAGGGCTCTCTGCTGCACAACCTGTCTCTCAGAGAATATGAGGTGAGGGGACCGGGGCACAAAGGGTGGGTACTGACATGGTACCAGGGAGGAGGCGCAGACAGGAGGCAAGGGTGAGAAGCATTGGTGATGTTGGACCAGTTACTTCATCTCTGTGGGCCACAGTTTCCACACCCTTTCCTCTCTCTCAGCCCTTGATGCTGTCCCTCTGTCTGTTAGCAGAAGGAGAAGTAACCACAGGAAGATGTCAGCTCCCTTGGGAGAAGGCTGTCTAGAATGGGGACCTGTTACAAATTGTTTTATGTCTCTTATCTAACTTGTCTATAAAATGCTAGTAAAATTATTTTCTACCTCACAGAATTGTTAGGAGGGCCAATCAATAATGTCCAAAAACTTCTTTTAATAAAAAATATAAACCCTCTTAGTAAATGACAAATGGTTATGCATATATATCTCTTTCTACAATATAATCCATTGCCTTGTACCATTTGCTGAGAATCCTTTTAAAGGAGATAAAGGTGTGCCTTTGTCTCCTTTCAAAGTAATCAGAGAAGTGTAATAATACCAAGGTCAACATCAGCCTCTCCCCTTAATTATTATGTACCCATGTATACCAAGTACTCTACTAGGCTCTTTGCTCAGAGTAATTGGTCAGATGGGTACTATTAGTCTCCTGCTTTACAGAGGAGGACACTGAGGCCTAATAGAGAGGCAAGGTCGACTTGCCCACGTCACTCTCCTTAAGCTGCCATGTACCCACATACCTCCTGTGTGACCTTTGTTTGGGACTTTACAGCTTAAGGTGGGAGAACTGAATCAGACCTATGAGAAGGTCACACATTATGACCAAGGGGGAGGTTGTGAGAGAGGGAGGGGAGAAGCTCTGGCTGGGAAAGGCCAGGCAGGGATGGTGGAGCAAAACCTCTCTGTTTTTACCAGTAAGCTGATTCTTTTGAGTTCTCCTAGGCCTTTGTGGTGGGGAGGGAGCTGGTGGGATAGTGAAGGGGCCTGGGACTGAGCTCCAAGAGCTTCTGCTTCAGCTTTGCTCCTGATTCTCTCTACTTTGGCCAATCCACTTGCCCTCCTCATCCCTAAAGTAGGCCAGACCAGTGGCTGAGATCTTGGCTGCTAACCTAAAGGCTGGTAGTTAGAACCCACCAGCAACTCCACAGGAGAACTGCTCCCCAAAAGATGACAGCCTAGGACACCCTATGAGGCATTTCTACTCTAGCCTGCAGGCTGCCTATGTGTTGTTATCAACTGGACAGCACGCAATTATGGTGCTCACAGTACATCAAACTCACTCGGAGAGCTCTTTAAAAACACACACGCCTGCTGACAATGTGTTCTGGAAACTTCCACCTAATTCACAATCAATAAATAATAGAACTATGTAGGAGAAGAAACACACACCCACCCCGGCGTGTCAACTGAGTCAGAACCTGACACCCACCCCTGGTATAGAACCCCCAGGCTACAGGGCCCTTCATATGCTAACAAACCACAAGTATCTATGATTACTAAAAATAATAAAAGACCAAAACCAAAAAGAAGAAGCTCAGAGGACCACATGTAGTCAGAGGTCCACAATTCTTATACAGACCCTTAGGGTCAGATGTGTTTGGCATCTAGAATGTTTTCACATTTTTAGGAAAACAATTTAGTGCATTATTTCTTTCGTCAGTTGGGATTGGGGCCTAAACTAAAACCAAACCCACTGTTGTCGAGTCAGTTCTGACTCATGGTGACTCTGTAGGATAGCATTGAACTAACAGCTCCTTTGAATTTCTGAGACTGTATACATGGAGTCCTGGTAGTGTAGTGGTTACGAATCGGGCTGCTAACCTCAAGGTCAGCAATTCGAAACTACCAGCTGTTCCGTTGGAGAAAGATGAGGCTTTCTGCTCCCGTAAAGATTTACAGCCTCAGAAACTCTGTGCAGGGACGCTATGAGTCGGAACTGACTCCACGGTACTTAACAACAACAATATATGAAGTCCTGGTGTGGTGCTGCAGGGTAATGTGCTGAACCGTTAAGGTCAGTTTGAACCACAGGGTCAGCAGTTCAAACTCTGCAGCCCCTCCTCGGAAACCCTATCCATATAGGATTGCTATGAGTCGGAACTGACTTAGCAGGACTTAACAACAACAAATATAATAAGCAGTCTATGTCATCTTTCTCTCGTGGAGTGACTGGTGGGTTTGAATCACCAACCTTTCAGTTAGCAGCCTAGCACTTAACTCACTGTGCCATCAAGGCTCCTTGAGACTGGATTTATTGTTGTTGTTAAGTGCTGTCGCGTCAATTCCAACCCATAGCAACCCTGTATAGGCTTTTCAAGGAGCAGCTGGTGAGCTAGAACCACCAACCTTGCAGTTCAAACGACTTTGCAGTCTGACACATTAGCCCACAGAGCCATGCCAGGACTCCTGAGACTGGGGTAGCATCCTATAATTAAACATATTATTTCTGCAATGAAATGAATATTCACATAAAGTGGGGTCAATACAAACTGTAAATCACCTCCATTTTAACTCCAGTTCACGTTTGGCTGCCAAGTAAATTGGCTTCAAACCTATGGAAAAATATTCAGCTTTAGAATCTTGGAGGTTTCAGAAATTGTCGGAGGGGTTCGGAGGGGGATGTTGCTGGATTGTGGGCCAGCACACCATGCTGAGCAGCACCTAAGCTATTGGAGTTGTTGGGACAGAGGTTGGCATCAGGGAACCACGAGTGTCTCACTGAGTGAAATTTGCTCTTGTTTCCTCAGAAATAGTGCGGATAGGACCTGCCCCAAATGCAGAGAGGAGGACGCCCATTCTGTAAGCCCAGGAAACCTTCTGTCTCAGGAGAAGGTATGTTGTGCACCAGGAAAAGGTATTTATCCATTCTCTAGATTTGCTCAGTGTGAGGCCAAGTGGGTTGCAGCCCACACAGCCCCTGGCAGGCGCCTCCCTCCCATGTTCAGTCTGGACTGAATTGGCTTCATAAGAGGCCAGGAGACTGAAGTTCCCAGAGCTGAGCAGTGTGCCCAGAGCCACATGGCTAATGTGTGACAGATTCAGGGTGATGACAGGGTCCACAGATTACAGCCCAGAGGCCAAACCTGGCCTGCTACTAGATTGTTTTTATTTTTAAATGGCTGAAAAATCAAAACAAGAATAGTATTTTGTAGCATGTAAAAATTATATCAAATTCAGATTTCATTGTCTCTAAGAAAAGTTTTATTGGCACACAGCCTATGGCTGTTTTCGCCTCATAATGACAGAGCTAAGTGATGGCAGTAGAGACTGCACCACAAAACCCAAATTATAAACTTTCTGCCCTTTACAAAAAAGGTTTACAGACCTCTGATTTGGACAGGTCTTTTTGCCCTGCTGTCTGCCCTCAAGTAGAGAATTCTCTTAGGCTGGTATATCATCTTACTTCTTGGGTTCTTCCAAGCAGTGCTTCTAGAACTACAAGATGACTATGGAGATGTGGGAGTTCTGGTGTGGTGCTGTTGGACTGCAAAGTCCACTTGAATTGGAAGGTCGACAGTTCAAGTTCACCAGCTGCTCCTCAGAAACCCTATACAGGGTCACTATGGGTTGGAACCGACTCTATGGCACTTAATAATAACAACAAATGGAGATGTGAGAAAGCACGAAACAATCAGGTACCACAGTTTAGAGCCTTGGCCCTTCTGAGCTGTCATGAACTGGTGGGGTAAGAGCAGTCCTGGCCAACAGCTTAGCTGTCCAGTCCAGTGGTTCCCACATGTTGGCCACATTGTTCTAACCCTACCAGTTCATGGCAAAATGATGAAAATAAGGAAACTAGTTAAGTTTTTCATAAGAATAGATTCTGTACTCAGAGATTATGCTTTCCCTATAAATACATGAAATGAGGGTAATAGTGGATGATAGAGTGTTTGGGAAAGCCTTTACTTAGTAAAATGATGGCAATTTATATTCTCGTCTCCAGTTCAAACAAACACAGTTATATTGTTCATGAATCTAAATGTCTAGGAACCACTGCTCTAAATCCTGCCTTTGTTTTGCACATGGGGCCCTGAGACCCAGTAGGGAGCCTTCATGCCAAAGCTGCCCTGTGTCCAGGTGTACCACTGGACTACCTACAAAGCATGTGGTCTTTTCAGTTAAAACTCCTTTCTTGCTACAAACTCTGGTCAAGGTTAGGAGCCTGGCTTCCGTGGTGGTTCCGTATAGTCCGTTATGTGGCCCCAGATGAATCTAGTGCTGTTTGCACCTCAGTTGCTCCATCTGTAAAATGAAAAGTTACTTTGACTCTTCAAGACCCCTCCAGGACCTGTGACGTCCATATTTTGGGTTCAGGGACACTGAGTGAGTCTCCCTCCCCACCTGTTAGATCCCAAAGTTGACAGGTCTCCACATTTCCCTCTTCCATCTTTTCTCCAGTCCCACTCATTCAGAGTTTGGGGGCATTTCCTGCCCAACCTAGAGGTGATTTGAGGGTCCCTCTTCCATCAGGCCCTCTAGAAGATAATAGAGCCCTAAACCAAACTCTCTGCTGTCTGGTTGATTCAAACTCACAGTGGCCCTGTAGGACAGAGTAGAACTGCCCCACAGTGTTGCCAAAGCTGGAAATCTTCACAGAAGCAGACAGCCTCATCTTTCTTCTGAAGAGCAGCTGGTGGGCTTGAACACCAATCTTGTGGTTACAGCCTACCACTTAGACCACAACACTACCAGGGCTCCTTAAGGGATGAATGGTGGGGGTGGGGTGGCTTATGGGTCACCACCAATCGTTTCTGACTCAGAGTGATCCTGTATAGGGTTTCCAAGGCTGGAAATCTTTAAGGAAATAGAACCCTCATCTTTCTCCTGAGGAGCGATTGGAGATTCAAACTATCGACCTTGCAGTTAGCAATCTAGCTCATAATCCCCTTTAAGGGGTTAATAGTAAAGATCAAATGCATTTTCCTGGAATTTAATAATGCACTAAGCACTGATTGATAGATCCATGGACTAGCATCGAAGCCTCCCATTTGGGTGTCTAAGTGGGTGCACTGTGAGACTTGAGCAGACCCATTCTTTTCTGTGGGCTTCAGTGCTTCACCTGCAAAACGAAGGAGGAGCACATGTTCTCTAAGTTCTCTGACCACTTAAATATTGTAGGGCTAATGGTTTTTAAAGTTGTTTTATTCTTTTTCCTCTTACCAAAAGTGATACGCGTTCATTATACAAATTCTAGATATTAATGCTAAAATGTATTTAAATATCCTTAATCCAATGGTTTTAGTATTTTCAACTTTGTTAAAATGAAATAAGATAAATGTAGACAGGCCCGATTAAAGGGTAGCTTAGAGCCTGGCCCTCTGAATTGCCCCCATGTCTTCCCCCAGTCCCAGACCCCAAGGGCATAGGGCCCTGCAAAACACAATTTGAAACTTGCTACTTCAAGTGATTAATTGGATTCAGGCCTCTATCATGCTATAAAAAGGAACCCTGGTGGCACAATGGCTAAGCACTTGGCTGTTAGCCAAAAGGTTCAAAGTTCAAGCTCACCAGTTGTTCCACCAGAGAAAGATATGGTAGTCTGCTTGCTTCCTTAAAGGTTTAGGGCCTTGGAAACCCTATGGGGCATTTCTACACTGCCCTACAGGGTCGCTATGAGTCAGACTCAATGGCACCAGGTTTGGTTAGGGCTTGGTATCGGGTTATGGAGTGGGATGTTACCCCGCCAAATGCAGTCAACACTCTAAATAGTAAAATATTGGGGCCAAGTCCCCACACCAAGTGTGGTGCACCAAGTCACACAGTGGAAATCCCAGACCCTCCTCCAGCTTGGATTTTTGACCAGAGAAAAGCAGCTGGTTATGTCAGTACTTAACATATGTGGTAATCTCTAAATCTGTCTGCATCTGGGGAGCCTAGGAAGTAGAGGCATTACAGGGACAGGGCTGGAGACCACCGAAATGCGCTCATCCTTAAACACACTTTCCATGCCATCTGCTTATCAGCTATCCTCATCCCCTGACGTCATTAGAGTAATACCCCCTAAGAAGTGCCTGGAGCCAGGGGTGATTAACCCATGTGAGAAGCAGATATGAAAGGGATTAATGGTGACCTAGTTGGAATATCAGAAAGATGTTTACCTGTGCTTTATTGACTACGCAAAGGCTATTGATTGTGTGGATCATGACAAGCTATGGACAACATTGTGAAGTATGAGTATTCCAGAACATTTAATTGTACTCATGAGGAATCTGTACCTGGACCAAGAAACAGTTGTTCGAACAGAACATGGGAACACTGAATGGTTTAAAATTAAGAAAGGTGTGCGACAAGGTTGTATTCTTTCACCATACTTATTCAACCTGTATGCTGAGCAAATAATACGAGAAGCTGAGTTCTATGAAGAAAAACATGGCATCAAGATTGGAGGAAGACTCATTAACAACCTGTGATATGCAAATAATACAACCTTGCTTGCTGAAAGTGAAGAGGACTTAAAACATTTACTGATGAAAATCAAAGAGCACAGCCTTAGGTATGAATTACATCTCAATGTCAAGAAAACAAAAATGCTCACCACTGGACCAATAATCAACATTCTTATCAACTGAGAAAAGATTGAAATTGTCAAGGACTTCATTCTTCTTGGATCAACTATCAACACTCACAGAAGCAGCAGTCAAGAAATCAAACGACATATTGCATTTGGCAAATCTGCTGCACAGGAACTTTTTAAAGTGTTGAAGAGCAAAGATGTCAGCTTGAGGACTAAGGTGTGCCTGACCCAAGCCCTGGTATTTTCAATAACCTCATATGCATGCGAAAGCTGGACAGTGAATAAGGAAGACTGTAGAAGAATTGATGCCTTTGAATTATGGTGTAGGAGGAGAATACTAAAAGTTCCATGGGCTGCCAAAAGAACCAATAGATCTGTTTTGGAAGATGTGCAGCCAGAGTGGTCCTTAGAGGCCAAGATGGTCAAACTTCGTCTGTCATACTTTTGATATATTGTCAGGAGGGACCAGTCGCTGGAGAAGGACATCATGTTTGGTAAGATGGAGGGTCAAGGAAAAGAGGAAGACCCCCAACAAGATGGATTGGCCAAGTGGCAGCATCGATGGACTCAAGTGTGGCAACAGTAGTGAGGTTGGCCCAGGATCGGACATTGTTTCGTTCTACTGTGCATAAGGTCGCTATGAGTCGGTGCCAACTCAATGGCACCTAACAGTTGGAATCCTGGAGTCCTGGTGTGGCACTGTAGGTTAATGCGGCAGACTGCAAAGCTGTTTGAACTGCAAAGGTCTGCAGTTCAAGCTCATCAGCTGCTCCTCAGAAACCCTATACAGGGTCGCTATGGGTCGGAATCGACTTGACGGCACTTAACAACAACAAATTGGAATTCTGGTTGGCGCTGTAGGGTAACACTGGACCAAAAAGTTGGTTTAAACTGCAAGGTCAGCAGTTCAAACTCACCAGTAGCTCCTCAAAAACCCTATACAGGGTTGCTATGAGTCAAAACTGACTCGACAGCATTTAACAAGTGGGAGATTAACTCTTGCCTGGAACCACCTTCCTTTAGAAGTGACAGTGAAGTAAGATTGGAAACTGACATTTAAATCTAAATTGGCTGCCTGAGACCCCACAAGTGGGATTATTTCTTTCATTCTCTTTCCTCTGAGTCCTATTCAAGAAGGTCAAAAAGAAACCTGATATCTGACGTCAGTGGCTTAAAATAATGGCAAAACTTACTCTAGAATCAGAAAACAACAGGGTTTAAGCCATCTAATCCAATTTCCATTCTGTGCCAGTTTCCTGCCAGGCAGTCTTGTGTCCTAACTTAATAGCAACAAGAAACCCATTACTCCATGAAGTGA